CTTTTAAAAATACTACTTTGTCTGAGAGTTGGAGAACAATTGGGAGGGACAAGAGGACTGAGACTAGAAGGGAGAGACTGCTAACCCAAGTGAGGTAAAAGATATTTGGCTACTGATGTAGATACAGAGAAGTGGAGGGAAATCCAACAGGAGGAGAATGGGTTGGATATCCATTCATGGGACACAGAGGGAGAGAAAGAGATAATGTTGTTTTGGGAACGTTGTGTACAAGATGCTGGCAAGGCATTCTAATGACTATGATCAGTCAAACTGTTAGACATTCTAATCTGGTATACAGAACAATTAAGTTAGAGGATAAGGACACAGGAGGCATCTGAATAAAGTGAATGTCAACAGTGACACTAATACGACCCATTACACTTGGCGGATCACTTCAGCACTCAGTAACTCAGTTGGTATTTAATATAACTCTGCAACGAAGCAGATCTTAATATGACATTCTAGAAACATGAAAATCAAAATTACTTCATGTAAATTTGCTTAAGCTTTTAACACTAGTAAGTGACAGAACCAGGACTTGAAACCAGATTATCTGACACCAAATTCTGAGATTTTTGGTGTGACTTTTATTATACTACAGAGTCTATGCAGTGAGGATTTGAACTGTGGAAGGTGAGTCTCTAAGAGGAAGAAATATGGTTACCAGAACTTAGGACACACCTATTTTTAGGGACTGAAAAGAAGAGCGCAGAGTAAAGGAAAAAGCGATAGAGAAGGAGAAAGAGGCTGGAGAGTATTTGGCCCTAGAAACCAGGTGGTGGGCAGAAGGTGGAGAGCTCCTACAACAAAGGAATGGTTAGCATTTTCAGATGTTACCTAGAGGATCAGCATGTTCACTGCTAAGAACAGATCACTTTCTTTACTGCACATTTTGCCTTTCTCATTTCATGCTCATTCTCATTTCACACGTTGTGGCTTTAGATCCTGACTAGATTATAAGTTCCTTGAGGGCAAGATCCAGGTCTTATTTTCCTTCTTGTCTCTGTACTGCCTAACACAGTGATATACGTAGGCTAATAGGAAACCTGAAAGCTCTCTGCATGCAGATGATTAATCATCACTAAAATTTTTCCACAGGCACAGTCGCTAGTGCCAAAAGCACATTTGTTTAAAATGTGTGCTTAACTTTGAATGAGTCTGCCTAAATGGTGCCATCTGTTCTTAGGCAGTTTCAGAAACGTTTTAATACAATTTTACCTTTAAAAGGACAAACGTAGGGCCATGCCTCTGAGACATAAAGACATCCTTAAATAAACACAGAGCAGACACAGGCACATCCAATCACACTTGAAAAGCTCCACATAATGTTTTCTGAGGTTTAAGAAATTTTTATCTAAGAGGACACCAACTGCTACTTCATGCAGAAAATATTTATAAGAAGTTGCAAAACTGTAGGCAGGGACTCCTACAGCATATTACTGCATTTTAATTACAGACTCCAGAATATGCAATTTTAGTTTCTGTGAATCTCATATTCCTTTGAAATGGGTACACTCTACCAATATTCATTAGCGGTTCACATTTTATGATGGTTTCAGAATATCTGTTTCAAAGCTGAAGACAGCTGTTGAGAAGTCTCCATGTTATTTGTTTATATTGATTGTCAGTTTGACTTTTCTTACAGTATTGTAGGATTTATTGTTGTGCGAATATGACAGTGAAATGAAACCCATGTTTAAGTTCTGCAAATAACTTACAGTCACTTCCAAAACACCTCAACTTAGGTTCTAAATTTGAGTTTGCGGTTTTACATGCACAGTTATTTGCTGATCCACTTTAGCAGGCAAAATCACACACTGGCCAGGTTTGGGCATAGTTATTGTGGCAACAAGTAATGGGTCAAATTTTCAGCCTGTTTAACTCACTAGATACATCATCATCACCAAAACTATGCCAGCATTTTGACATCTGTTTATTTTGCTAGTTGGTGTAAATCAACTACGGTGTATATCAAGAATTTATATTTACAGAAAGAATTTCTGGTTGAATTACCATTCAGATATGTTACCCTGTCTGCACATGTGTGCATCCATATCGAATTTTTTTGGTTAAATCTTACTTTGCAAAGGTGGAGATCTGGACATATTTATTCGTATGAATGCTCATTTGGAATATTTTTTTGTTGTCGTTGTTGTCGTTTCAGAGGATGATACTGCTAACTTGTCACTTGTGTCTTGAATCAGATTAATTTCTTTCTTGTTCCAAAAAATATAAAACACAAAAAAGTGCAGAGAATAGTGTGACCAACATCCATGTTTTCCAATCCAGGAATTGCTTCTAATAATTTTTAACTAAATGAAATAGAATACTGCAGATAAAGCTGAAGGCCCTTTTCTTGGCCTTTCATTTCCATCCCTCACAAATGCAATTGCTGTCATTAATTTGGTGTATCCGTCTGGTCTGTGTTTTTATACTTAATGACCTAAGTTATAGCTTCATGAACAATATGTAATATTGCTTTTTTAATTTTGTAAATTGCATCATAGTGTTCATATTATTATTTAACTTGCATTTTTCTCTCAGATCTATTTTAGAAAACCATTTATGCTAATCTATCCAAAGTTGCTTTATTTTAACATCTCTGTAATTTGAATTATCTCAGTTTACTAATCTTTTCTGCCACAGATGTCTACTTAGGTTGTACATCTTGCACGGATTTCTTGCTATTTCTTTCTTTCTAGTAAATATATCTAGTAGTTTACTGATGGCTGCTGTGGGTTATATGTATTTGCAACTTTACCATGTATTATCAGATTGCTTTCAACATTTGTTCTTAATTTACATTTCCACCAGCAGTACATAAAATTTCCCATTTCCTTATATCTCCACCAACACTTATTTTGTTAGACTCTATTTTTTAAAATTTTTCCAGTCTGATGGGTGTAAAATAGTTTAACCTTATGGTTCTAAGTGATGTGGTTCTGATTATGTATAAATTTGAGCATTTTTTCCAAATATTCATTAACCATTTCCAGATTTCTTCTTTATAAGTTACCTAGTTATATTCTTTGATCACTTTTTCTTACTGATTGGCAAGAGCTCTTTTATTTATTTATTTTTTTGAGATGGAGTCTCGCTCTGTCACCCAGGCTGGAGTGTAGTGACATAAGCTTAGCTCATTGCAATCTCTGCCTCCTGGGTTCAAGCAATTCTCCTGCCTCAACCTCCCAAGTAGCTGGCACTACAGACATATGACACCAATCCTGGCTTTTTTTTTTTTTTTTTTTTTTTTTTTTTTTTTGAATTTTTAGTAGACACGTGTTTCACCATTTTGGTCAGGCTGGTCTCAAACTCTTGACCTCAAATGATCTACCCACCTCAGCCTCCCAAAGTGCTGGATTACAGGTACGAGCCACAGCACCCAGCCAAGTTCTTTATTTATTATTAACGTTCTGTCAGCCACATATACTGCAGATGTCTTCTAGTGTTTTAATTTTATGGTGGATTTTATCAGACAGAAGTTTTTACATTTTGGATTATCTTGGTCATATATTTTAAATCAATTTATTTTTGTGTTTTATGTCTTTTCTTAAAATATCCATTACCTCCTTGGGTTGATTACAATATACTTTCATGTTTTATTGTATTGGTGCTAGAATTGTGTTATTTCACACTTAAAGCTTTAATCTATTCTGGAATTTCTTTGTGTTCATAGTGTAAGAAAGCAATCTAAGTTATTTTTTTCAAGATAGATGGCTGGTTATTCCAGCACCATTTATTAAATAAGTGCATCCTTTCTCCACTGAGGTATGATGTCTCCTCTATCTCATACAGAGCTCCTCAGTGAGCACAGCATGTCTCACTGACCTATCTCTGCTCCTGCACCAGTACCACACTGTTCTATTTACTGTAGCTTTATGGTATACTTTGATAGATGGCAGGAAAGTCCCTTTTTTTGTTCTTCTTTCACAGAATCACTTTTGCTTTTTTTTCTTTTGCTTTTTTGATATAGCAACTTCAATAAGGAAGTGTAAACAGCATTACTTTTCATTTTATTTGAAGATTTCTCTTCTGTATGATATTTAGGATCAATTTGTCTTTTTCTGTAAACAAAAGCTGTAGCATTTTTATTTTAATCACATTGAATATATAGGTTATATATAGACATTTATATATAGATTAGTTTGGAGTTTTTCCATCTATGAAATGGTGCATTAATATCATGTACACCCTTTATTCCAGTTTTCTTCGCCCTTTAATGTTATCTTATCATTTTTTCTATAAATTACATATCCTTTATAAAATTCGTCCCTTATTATTTCATTGTTTTTCTTGCCATTGTGAATAATATTATATTTTCTGATTAATTGTTGCTCTGACTTATTAGAACCTCATTCATTTTATATATTCGTCTCATATCCAGCAACCATGCTAAACTTTTTAGTTCTTAGCCATTTGTTTGGAGATGCTCTTGCATTTTCTATGTAGACCACCATATTTTTTATACATAATGGCATTTTAAATTTCTTCTTTTCCTACTATCATGCCTTCTATTTCTTTTTCTTGTTCATTATATTGTCTAGGGCCTCCACTTTAGTGTTGAGTAGTAGCAGTGATGGTATGTTTCTTTGTGGATTATGTTTACAATTGTGATCATTTTTCTGATACACACATTCTCATCTTTTTTCCCATGAGATTAACATTAAGCATTTTCAATCTGGCTAGCCAAGGTTAACGTATGGATTATAGTCAGGTAATAAAATAAAGCTCTATTGTCAAGAGGACTCAATCTATACCTCATTAGAACTCTTTTCTCGCTTTCTGAGTGAAACCATCCACATTGGTCATCAGTAATTCAAGAGTTAGTAATAAGTTAAAAATAACTTACTTTAAAGGTCTTAGTTACAAATGGTTTTGCTGCAGTTCACAGTTGGCTTCGTGGGAAATGTCTTATCCCTAAAAATATCACTTTCGAACTTTTGATATTCTTCAAAAATTCTCATTGTTCAAATGATTTTTGTTCTGCAATTTTTTTATAGACTCCTATGAACCAAGCTTCAACCCGTTCCCACTGCATTTTCACTGTTCATTTGTCAAGCAAGGAACCAGGATCTGCAACTGTACGACATGCCAAACTTCATTTGGTTGACCTGGCTGGTTCAGAGCGAGTCGCAAAGACTGGAGTAGGGGGCCTTCTTCTAACGGAGGCCAAGTATATCAACTTGTCACTACATTACTTAGAGCAGGTAAAATGGGCAGAGTGGGATGCATTAATAACTATAGCTACCATTTGCTGACCACATACTATGTATCAGGCATTCTCTTAGAATTTTGTTATGGTAAAATAGATATAAAATTTGCCATTTTAATAATTTTTAAGTGTACAACTCAGTGGCGTTAAGTACATTTATAAAGTTGTGCAATATCAACACTATCCATTTCTGAAGGTTTTTTATACTCTCAAACAGAACCTCCCCATTCCCCTATACTCTGGTCTCTGGTAATCTCTACTCTACTTTCTGTCTTTATAAATTTGCCTCTTCCAGGTGTCTCATGTAAGTGGAGTTATACAACAGCTGTCTGTTTGTGTCTGGCTTATTTCACTTAGCATAATGTTTTCAAGCTTCATCCATGTTGTAGCATGTATCAGAATTTCTTCCTTTTTTAAACTGAATAATATCCAATTGTATGTCTGTGTCACACACTGTTTATACATTCATCCCTGATGGATAGTTGCATTGTTTTTGCCTTTTGGCTATTGTGACTAATACTGCTGGGAACATTGGTAGATCTACTAGCATTTTGTATCTACCATTTTTTGAAACCTCACAACAGCCCTAGATTGTAGGCATTAGTTACTACCCCCATCATATAGATTTTAAAATTTAAGTCTTCCAAAAGTCTTCCCACAAGGTTACCTAGCTAGGGGAGGGTGAGGATTTGAATCTAGATTTGCTAGGCTTCACAGCCTATACCCTTTTTCACTTTTTGTCTTACTGCCTTATTGTAAAATTAGTAGTTGGTAAGTAGAAGTTACAGTTGGCTTCCTGTTGCCTGTTTTCAAGGTAGTAGATTAACAATGGAAACATAACTTTGAGATGGCTGACATGTTTTCTGCTTGGGGATACTTTATTTAGTTGGTAATTTTGACCCCATGATGGTTCTTTTAGACTTGTAGCTTTCTCTTCCTACTTCTACCCCAAGCTGATTACAATCCACCCCAGTATGGGCTCTATTTTTAATTTCTGAATTTAATGCCAGAGGAGAGAACACTCATCTGAATTTAGCTAAATAAATCTTTCAGAAAAAATATATTCATCTCTAAAATGAGTGGATTGAATTAGATGATTTCTCAAGTTCCATTTAGCTTTCTGAGTATAAGGGCTGTGAGTTGAATGTTAAAGATGGCAACGACTTCCAAATTCAAAAAATAAAATAAATAAGAAACATGATCAAAAATGTGATTGGAGAAGTACAGACTCTTGGTGAGACTGAAGGACTTGTTAATGATTCGGCTAAAAGATTAGAGGGGAAAAAATAAAACATTTTTTTAAACTGCTTAATGAATGCTTCTGAGACTGATGTTGCTTCAGTGTTAAATGCTATGTGGTGGTCACATTGGCTAAAAAAGCAGATGGAGAGAAACCTAAGGGACCCTATCTGAGCAAGGTACACGTGGCTACACTCTAACCAGATGAATCCCAGTCATGCAGCACCCAGAGATTAAGGCCAGCCTGGCATTCAGATCATTTTAGTGTTTTTAACAAGAGTCAGCATTCCTAAGCTCTTTCTTGCTCAAATGTTACACACTGCTTAACAGAGCTTTTTACTTAATAGAACACTTACAGAACATTGATATGAAAACATAACGGGCTGTATTCAAAGTGCTTTATTTCAAAGAAATGCGTCTGCTTGTTTCGGATGGTAGCGCTGTCTGTTTTAATTTCCATTATATCCATCTGTTCATACAAAATTATGTTCATCAGTTGAATCAGACTTCCCACCAATTGTAATCACTCAAGAGAAATGTTCTGCCCTTAATTCTTTTTTTTTTTTTAATCCTATAAGCCATTATAAGCTGCTACTTGTCACTAAAACTGTTCCTCTCCTCACATTTCTTCCCTTCAAAATTCTTATGACAGCCTCGTGTGAGTAGTCTTGGGGGCTATGTGGCATTGGATTTTCTATATCATTAATTTATTTATCTAACAAATATTTATAATGAACTACAATGTGCCGAGGGCTGCACTAGGCACTGGTGCCTAGTGGTGAACGAAATAGAAACAGTCCTTTCCCCAAAGACCTCTTGGTTCAGTGTAGGGAGACAGGAATTAAAGGCATATTCTTTAAGTATGTGGCTGTAAGCCAGGTGAGAGCAGTGAAGAGAAAGTAAAAGGAGTGAGAGGAGCTTGCAGTGGGGTATCTGACTGAGACTGAGGAGGTGAGAGGTGATGATGGTTTTCTTAGGGCCTGATACCATGCAGAGACTGGAGGAATGAGTAGGGTTGAGCCAATTAAGGATGGGGCAGAGTGTGTAGGCAGTGGGAGTTGCCAGCCTGTCGGCTCTTAGCTCCAGCCCAGGGGGGTGAATTTGCTCAGGGTCTCAATAACATTCACATGTCATTGGCCCTTGGTCTCTGTAACTGATGTTTCATTTTCACCCGCTGCATCACTCCAGCTGTTAACCATTTACACTGATATACAAGTGTCTTCACAGGAAAAGAGGAGGTTCAACATAAGATAATGGAGAGAGAGGAGTTTAGTGGGAGAGGAAAGAAAAACATAAATATGGAAAAACTAGTCTGTGAGCATGGACATGTGAGGCTGAGTGAATCTAGGAGTAGGTGCTAGAGAGTAAGTAGGTTGGTAGAAGAGAAATTTTGAATTTCACACAGAAAGAAATAAGAGAAAACGAGGGAGTACATAGGAATAAGAAGATAGGAATAGGAAGATATTTAATGAATAACAAAATTCAAGGACCTTTGTTAATCAACTTCTCTTTATGTAGTACTTTATTATGGGACTAATAAGACTGCAAATATAACACAATTTAATTTAATTAGCTTCATTCATTCATTCAGCAAATTGTGATTGAATATTTACTGGGGCTTCAGTTATGTTGGGCAATGGGGATAAATGAATGACGAGAAGTAGGCCAGGCTATCATGTTAGCCAGCAGAATAGCAAAGCATACAAATAAATACTTAGCAGTACAGTTATTTGAGATCTGTAATAGAAATCCATCTGAGTGTTGGTAATCAATTACATCCTCTCTTTCTCAGTTTCAATATATAAGATAGAGATGGAATGGGAAATCATCTGGTAACTTGTCTTACTTCAGTTAGCCTACATTGGTTCCACAAATTCCATGCAGCATTATAATTACTTTTTGGCCATGACTGTGAAATCTCACACCTGCTCAAAGTGGGTAGCCTCTCTGAGTTGAATGTACTTTATGTGTTCACAAGTAAATAACTTTTCTGTTTGCCAGAGTATTGTGGGTTTTGGAGTTCTCCTTGTGTATGCAGTACTTTTTGCAAAAAGTTTCCTCAAAAACATTTTAAGCCACAATAACAGGGTACATCTTGGCCCTAGAAATTGAGTTTATGGGAGGAAAAGGGAGACATGCATACTTGTCCTAAATCTCACCGAGTGCTCCTGGTGTGACCCATAGCCTCTATCAGCCCAAACATCAAGTGAGAAACCACTAGAAATTGAAGTGCTTGCTCTGGACCACTACAGAAATCAGAATTGGAGTTGCCTTCAGCCCTTATTCAAAATAAATGGGACTTTTTCAGAGTTTTAGTTTCTATTTGGCTTCCACTGAATGTGTTGTGTTCAGAAGAAAAAGTAATGGTGTCAGTGCCAGTTGTAACACTCCAAATCTTTGTCAATTTTCATAGGATAATTTTCCAAACACTTCCGACCTCCTTTAAAAAAAAATCTTTAACTAATTAAATAGTAAATAGAATTATTGATTACAGGCACAGTTTTCAGATACTTGGAGATATTATTAAGCATAATGTGAGGTTCCACTCCTTGTCACTTAAAGAATGACTTCAGGAATATTTGCCATTGTATTTGTACATGCAATCTAAGATGGAAAGAATAAAAATTAAAAAGTCAGGTTTTATGACTACCCCATTTTCTTGTGCCTTTCAGAAAATTTGGTTCCTGTCCAATTTAAGAACTCATAGCAGCCCCACAAAGAATAATCTACCTCTGCCTCTTTCCTGATTATCTGCTATTTCTGGGTCATTCCAGAGTTTTACATCTGCTCCAAGTGGGCTGGGCTTATGGCATTCCTAAAGCTCCTTGAGAGCTGATAAGATACCTTCTCAGGGTCCTCTTCTAAAGAAATGGCCCGCAAATGTGTTGATACGGTGAAAATTAGTCTTCAAGAGTTTCATAAAGAACATTACATGAACATTTTATAAAGAACATTTCTTTCAATAACACTGAGTGCTTTTTTGTTTACTAAGAATGATTCCAGAAATTATTAATTTTTAAAACATTTCTGTGAGATAGACAGACATTTCAATACTACTTTTACAAGTGAGGGAACTGAGGCTCACTTTATTTAAGAGGCTCACTTTATTTAAGAGATTTCCCTAAGATGACTGCCTTCATTTTCTCCATTTCTAAGACCGTATTTTCTAATCTATCATCCCAATTTGATCTCCAATTCTTTAGAAAGCCTTTTCTAGAGAGGACGTTGGAATTGCCTCTGCAATGTCCATGCCAGTGCAAAGCGCATCCAGGAGCCCGTCCCAACTTGTCAGGTAGATCCTGACTGATCTAAGTGAATTGGAGCCTGTCTATCTCCTGGCTACAGTGATTAGTTCAAGGATGGGCCCAGGACCCAAGCTCATTTCTACTGAACCGCAGGAATTTGTTTAATGATTAGGAAAGAAAAATTCTTTCTCACCTAAGTTATGAATAAGGAAGTATGTAACATCAGGGCTTTTGGCAACCATTGTGGGGCCACAAGAAGAGACTGACTTCTACCACATGGAAGACATAGCAGAGATATGAGCAAAAACTAAGTCCTTGATGGTAGCATTAATCTTTTGGTTTCCTTCTAACTTAAAGCCTTTCCTATTTCAATCACATGAACCAATACATTTTCCTTATACTTAAAACCAGTTTGGGTTACATTTTCTGTTTCTTGCAACCAAAAGCAAGTTTACTAACACATGATTAATTTAATATCAGCTGGGACCGGGCACGGTGGCTCACGCCTGTAATCCCAGCACTTTGGGAGGCTGAGGTGGGTAGATCACTTGAGGTCAAGAGTTTGAGACCAACCTGGCCAACATGGTGAAACCCATCTGTACTAAAAATACAAAATTAGTTAGGTGTGGTGGTGGAAACGCCTGTAATCCCAGCTACTTGGGAGGCTGAGGGAGGAGAATCGCTTGAACTTGGGAGGCAGAAGTTGCAGTGAGCTGAAATCGCGCCATTACACTCCAGCCTGAGCAACAAGAGCAAAGCTCCACCTCAAAAAAGAAAATTAATGTCAACAGGAAGTTTAATAAGCATATCCTCCTTTAAGTTGTCAATAAAGCCATTGAATGAAAAGACATCAATATTGTTTCCTAGAGCAGGATAAAACCAGTGACATTTGTTTTATAAAAGGACTTCAAAGTACTTAGAGAAATTATTGATGAGCAATAATGCCACTGTCTCTGCACATCTGTCAGCCCAGCCCATTTGGATATTTGGGCCCTCCTTGCACGTTTTTAGATACTTAATCTGTCCTCTTCATTCTTAGAGCCTGGAGTTCTGCTTGGCATCTCTTGCCCCTCTGACTTTGGTCTGCCATATTCCCCATCTCCTTTCCAGTTACACTGAAACTTAGTTCTCTCAAACCTCCTTCCATACCGACGAGCTTCTTGCTGCCTTCCTAGGACATACTAAGTAATCTCATTCATTAACTGATTTATTTGACAAAGGTGTGTCGAGCACATGTTATATTTGTCAAGTGTCTTAGTTGTAAACTGGAAAATCCACTAGCTGTTTTAAGAAGCATGGTTTATTAAACATAAAGAATCTCAAAAAAATCAGGAAACTGGGTTTGGCTGCTACACAGAGCAACCAGGAGACGCACCTAACACCACTGAACTGCGCAGCAAAGTATTACTGTATAGCCACATGGCACTGAATTCCAGAAACTTCCCCACAGCTGCCTCAGAAGAATGAGATGCCTCTGCCACCATGCCCCCCACAAATCTGAAGTTCCTCTTTATGCCTACCACCTCTCACTGCTCACTTCCAAACCCCACATAGGGCTGTCTGCGTGGTGGAGCTCTGTCTTAAGCAAAACATGAGTTTCAAGACAGACTAGGAGAAGTAATTTCATAGGAAGTCAAACTAGAAGGTGGGCTGCCATGAGAGCTGAGGGAGACAGCTTTGTTTCTGCTATGTTACCATGTACTGAGCACTGTTCTAGGCAGTGGGGGCCAAGCTATGAAGAAAAGAGACAACATCTCTGGTCTTGTGGAGCAGAAAGCCTAGTGGGGAAGCAGACAACAAACAAGTACCTAGATGTAATTTTAATAGTGATGCATACTATAAGAAAAATAAAATAGATTAACAGGCTGGAGGTAGGTGTATTATTTTTGATAGGGTGTCCAGGGGAAGCCCTTGTGAGAAAACAAAATTTGAGCAAAGATATGAGTAATGAGAAGCAGAAAGCTGCACAGAAGTCTGGGTCAAGAGCATGCTAGGCAAAAAGAACAGTAGTTTCAGAGGCTCTGGTATAGGAATAAGCTCATTATGCTGAATCAACAATCAGAAGGCCAGTGCAGGCACAGGGAACATGGCAGGACATGATGTCAGGTAGGTAGACGGACAGATCACACAGGAGCTAGGATATTATGCTAAGCGTATTAGGGAGTGACTTGGCATAACTTAACATTGTGTGAAGAGTTCTCTGGCTGCTATGTGAAGATCAGGTCATGGAAGGGCAAAAGTAGAAGCAGGGGGACTAATCCAAGGCCTGTGTGGTTGCCCAAGCAAGGGACCCCAGAGGATTGAACTGGAGTGGTGGTGGTAAGAAGAGGTGATAAGAAGTGGTCCAATTCCTGGCAAGTGTTGTAGGTAAACCTAATAGAAATTGCTGATGGATTGGATATTGGGTGAGGGCAAATCAAGGGTGATTGCCTAAGGTTTTGGCCTGAGCAACCAGGTTGATGGTGGGGCCGTAATGATTATGGGTAAGATCTGAGAAAGAATCAGGCTTGAAGGCAGAGAGGAAAGAAAATCAAGAATAGAAATCCTGGTAGAGATGGAGAGTTGCCAAGATGATAGTAGCTCAGGGAAGAGGTTGAGATTGATGGTATAAATTGGGAAGACATCAGGCTATAGATGCATTTAAAAGCCAGGCAGTGGCTGGGCATGGTGGTTCACATCTGTAATCCTAGCACTTTGGGAGGCCGAGGTGGGTGGATTACTTGAGGCCAGGAGTTTGAGACCAGCCTGGCCAACATGGCAAAACCCCGTCTCTACTAAAAACACAAAAAATTAGCTGGGCATAGTGGTGCATGCCTGTAATCCTAGCTACTCAGGAGGCTGAGGCACGAGGATCACTTGAACCCAGGAGTAAAGGCTACAGTGAGCTGAGATCATGCCACAGCACTTCAGCACTCCAGCTTGTGCAACAGAGAGAAACTCTGTCTCAAATAAATAACTTAATAAAATAATAATTAAAGCTAGGTGATTGGATGAGATTACGTAGGGAGAGAATGTAGATAAGACAGAAAAGAGGATCAAGAACTGAGCCCTGGGGCACTCCAAAGTTTGTAATTTGGGAATAAGAAAAAGAAACATTCATTGACTAGTTTTTGAGGAAAGATGAAAACCAGTAAAGTGTGGTGTCCCAGTTACCAAGTGAACAGTGTTTCCCAAGAGAGGCAGTGGGTAACAGTGTTGCATACTTACTCAGCTCTGAAGTCCAGTAAGAGGGCAATCAGTGCTCTTGGTACAATGAAGGTTGCTGATGAACTTGGCAAGAGTCATCTTCATTTAGGACTGTAGTGGGCATGCAGAATCGGAATTGTTCAGATGAAGGGGAAATTATTTCAGATGAGAGAGGAAGTAATTGTAGGAGAAAGGTAGGAGAGAGCAGATGAGGGCAAGGATGGAGGGCTGGCCTTAGACAGCAGCAGAACAATAAGAAGGTGAAGGGCAGAGTGTATAGGGGTTTTAATGATGGAGACATGAGATAGCTCTGGTCAGGGTTCTGAATCTATATCTATCATATCTAGTAGAAGTGTGGCCATCAGCTCAAACTGAAATCGAGGAGAGAAGGAGAAGGTGAACAAAGATTTGAAAAAAAAGAAAGTGTGAAGGTCTTATTTCTGAGAGTTGAAAAGTGATTTCTGAGAGAGAGATCACAGGATTACTGAATTGTACTAACATCTGTGGTCATGAATTTAGAGTGAGACTAGTGGTATAGTTGTATATTTTGCTCAAAACAGCCTTCAAAAAACAATGCTCCCTTTTTGTTTTGTAAACCAACATTGTAGTGGAGGTTCTGGTGATGGAAATTACACTCCTGGGAGAAGGGAGGACTAGAACAATGACAGGTGCTGGCGGAGGTATTTTCAGGAGCCAAGGTCCTGTGATGTCCTTGAAGACACATCCTGTGGGTGGCTGATTACTGCCGCTCTGTAATGAACATTCTAGCACTGGATTTGTCTGCCCAGGATAACCCTGAGCCTCAGCTGCCTCCTTTTAGGACATCCCCAGCAGCCTTTGCTACATCTGCCATCTATCCATCTAGTACCTTCTTATTAAGTACCTAAGGAACTCATGAAGAGTAAGATGAGCCAGCCGGAGTTGAACCAAGGTAAATTACTCTTGTTGCTTACAATGGGAGCAAACCTATATACAGCACTTGTTTTAGGTTAGGTACTATTCAAAGTAATTTGCACATTTTAACTGTTTTAATCATCTCAACTACCTTTGAGTTAGGTACTATTTTTATTCCTATTTTACAGATGAGGAGACTGAGGCATGTTGAGTGATGTGCCCTAGGAAAGCTAGGACTTGTACCTGGACAGTCTTGCTTGAGACTCTGGGACCTCAACCACTATCCTTAACTGTTTCCCTAAGTTCTTGTTTACTGGTGTACAGCCCAATTTTGGTAGTATTTATCAGGCATGTTTTACTCTTGTGTTTTTATACACATTTTCCAATCACTAAAAGCAGAATAATAGTGTATCCAATACTATACAGGTTATTTCATTTGTCCAAAAATTATGGGGCTCACAATGCCACAGTTATGCTACATTTACTTTATTGAGTCTTTACCATCTGAATATTGTTGTTAAGCTGTTTATTCTGTTCTCAAGTTTTGGGCTTCACGCTGCATTTAGTTATTATTTCCTTTTGTATTTTCACTGCTGTTGAAGCTCCATTGTTTGTCAGGTGTGCATTTTCTGCTAAATCGATCCCATTACGTTTCTACGTTACCACAGGTTATCATCGCTCTTTCAGAAAAGCATCGTTCACACATTCCTTATAGAAACTCCATGATGACCAGTGTCCTAAGAGACAGTTTGGGAGGGAACTGCATGACAACTATGATTGCAACACTCTCTTTAGAGAAAAGGAACCTTGACGTATGTTGGCTCTCGTTTCTGGTGATCTTAATCTGGGTTTTCACTGCTAGCTCGTGAGACAGAGTTGAGGATCTTGGGTGGGTTTCCACTTTTTCAGCTGGGTTGAGATATGCCTTCAGAGGTCAGTGCCCTACAGAGTTCACAGCTTTGGGCTATTTATCATTATTATAATAACTCCATTGGAGAATTGACTTCCTATAGCACAGGATAGTTTGAAGAAGCCTCATATGCAAATTTGGAAGGCCTGCTGATGGATTGGCCATACGTCACCCAGAGAAATGGGAGAGCTGACCCCTCCACTTCTCTTGCTTGATTTTGCCCTGATGACTAAGACCTAGATACCTTGGACACATCTCTGAGATATGTCCCTAAAAATGTCGCTAAGTGAAGCAATCAAGATGCCTTGGTAGGAGCTAGATGCTGATTGGCTCTTCTGGGTTGCTTTAAAACCAGATGATGTTTAATGTTTGGGATCCAGACATTCCCCAGAAGAGGAAAACAGGCAAGGTCGTTCTTAAAACAAGGCCAAGACTTTGATTGCAAGATGCCTTGACCTGCCTCTCTTTTTTGACCTGTTAGAAACCTTTATTTTGTGATCCTTCATGTGTGTGGATTATGGCTCTTGCTATGATTATGATTCATATACTGTATGTGGCTCCAGTCTAAGTGATCAACAACTGAAAACACATACTATACCAGCTGCCGCTTAGGACCTTAGGATCTCTCACTTTTTGGCACTGGTAATTTTATTAACTCAAAATAAAATTTGGTTTAAAAATGATGTTCTAGAGCAAGAGTCCCCAACCCCCAGACCGTGGACCAGTACCAGGTCTGTGGCCTGTTAGGAACTGGGCTGCACAGCAGGAGGGGAGTGGTGGTGGAGCGAGCGTTACAGCCTGGGCTCCACCTCCTTTTGATCAGTGGTGGCATTAGATTCTCATAGGAGCACCACAAACCCAATTGTGAACTGCACATACAAGGGATCTAGGTTGGGCACTCCTTATGAGAATCTAATGCCTGATGTTCTGAGTTGAAACAGTTTCATCCTGAAACCACACCACCTGTACCCCTTTTCCATGGAAAAATTGTCTTCCACAAAACCAGTCCCTCTGCCAAAAAGGTTGGGGACTGCTATTCTAGAGCAAAGCTTCCTAATTTAGGGGCTTGGTTCCTCATTGTGATTTTTGTACACATCACTCTTTAGGTGTGTATCTTTTTTCTGTGGAAAAAAATTTAAGTTTTATCTAGAGAGAAAGATCTATCTATGCCATAATATTTTAAGAAGTTACTTTGCTTTCTTAGGAGTCTATATCTACCTGCAGATTTGCACAGCGAGTGGCACTCATAAAGAATGAAGCTGTTCTCAATGAAGAAATTGATCCTAGATTGGTAAGCAACTTTTAACCATAGTAAAAAATATATATTAAAGTATATCAAAGATTAGCTAAAACTTGTAGGTGCACTTACTCGGTACTGGGAATGTTCTAAGTGGTGGAAACATACTAATTCGTTTAATCCTCCAAATAACCAATGAATAGATGCTATCTCTATCTCCACCTCAATGATAACAAAACTGAGGTAAAAAGATGTTTGAGAACTTGCTCAGAGTCATAGTGTTAATAAGTAGCAGAGGCAGGCTACTTCTGTTTAACTCAAGAGCCTCTGCTCTTCCTACCGGCTGCTCCTTACTGCTTCACTACAAGACACACAGGGAGTCCTAAGGACTCATCCAACAGAATCACACCCAATTACAATTACATGCAGTACTTAGCCTTTCAAAATGCATCACTTTAACTATCTAGAGACTATAATAGTCCACCTTATATGAAAGCTCAGAAAGAGAAGTCCTCATATTCAGTAGAACCGTATTTTACATACTTGCTCTGTTACTTGTTCTGGAGTTTTTAAAAATTCATTATTGGTTTGATCTGTAGAACAATAGTCAAACTTATATTTTTATAACAATAAATTCTGCTTTATCAAAGCACTGTTTTTAAGCAAAAAAACAAAAACAAAAACAAAAAAAAACAAAAAATTTACATGGTAATAATTTAGTTCATCATAGATGCAGAAGTTTTCTATTCTCTATTTTGTTAGTTTTCTGTAAATGAAATACAACACTGAATCCATTTATGCCAACATTGAAAATGTTAAAATATCTCAATTGTATCAAAATCCATAATTAATGTTACATTGTTTTTCAAATCACTCAGTTTTTTTTATTCCTCTAGTAAATAAGCTAGTGTGGGTTTAGTAATCTGCATTATAAAAAAAAAAATGATGTGAAATCTTACCAACAGTGTTTCATTTACAAATTTCCCAAATCCAAAAAAATTATCAAATTAGTTGTTTCCCATAATTACTTCCTCTTATTTGTCTTTTCTCCTCCTTCTCCCTATGGAAGGACAGAGGGAGAGGAGGACAAAGGAATAATGAGGCTATCTGTTTTATTCTGCTTGCCTCAGAAAGCACCACATTCCTCTGATGGAGTTCTCTTCTGGAGAAACCAATGAGTGAGGCAGGATCTATTTCAGGATAGTCCCTGGTGAGGAATCAGCAGCACACAGTGTTCCTGCTGGAAAAAGGAGACAGAATGAAAAGGCATGATTCAAGTGGAACTGAACTCCTAGGGTGGATTTTGTTGCTGTCCCTACCCTTCCAGCACCCCAATAGCATTACAGTGCTGAATGAGAGAGTTAAAGTTGTTGGCCCCAAGACAAAAATTAGTTCATAATTTAAGGAAAATAAACATATTACACACATTGGAGCGTTTTTGTTTTTTGGGTTTTTTTTTGTTTTGTTTTTTTGCATTTGACTAGAGACTTTCCTTTGAAGGAACGCGAAGAATTTGAAGAAAGGTAAACATTATCATGTGTTTGATATGGGTCTGTGAGAGTTTTGAAGAAAAGAGAAATCAGGAATCAAAAGCTAATAGCTGATAATTGAACAAATATTGAGGTCTTCCTGGTGTAGACTAATCTGGTAATTGACCAGTGTTGGTTCCTGGTCTCTTTTATAATTGCTTCTAAAAACTGACATTACCGTCAGTCATTTTATATACAGAGCTTGTCTGAGGCACAAGTGACAATTGAGAATTTGTCCTACAAACCACTCAAAACAAAACTTGGGTGGCATTTACTGTCAAAATTAATGGCAAATATAGAGCCAGCCTATATGATCATAATCACCAAGGAGTTGCTCTGCTTCCTTTAAAAGTATTGGTACCTCAGAGACTCAAAATGATCAAAGAACTATGAACAAGGCCAGAGCCTGTGGTGATGGGGCATGAGCTCCTAAGGATGCCTCTAATGCCAGGGTCCCTTCAGTAGCTGGATGGGATGCATAACTGCAGTCATCTCAGAACCACAAAAACTTGGCTTAGTTTTGAGATTTTTGTTCAAAGACAGGAAGATAATTTGGTATTAGATTTGACTTTAAAAGCCTTAGTAAAAATAGAATATGACATCAATGTTAGTTTAATAGAGAAAGGTGCCAATGTAGTGACTGTCTTAGGATTTTCATTCTGTGTTACATTGATGATCCTAAGACTATTTTTTTTTTTAAAGAAGCAAACAAAACCCACATGATCCTGTACATTTCAGTAAAATTCTAGGAGCACTGAGATGTTCAAAATACTCAATATCATGTTCTTTGGGACTGCTGGTCCTCTTGATATGGTCCAAATAATCTGAAACTCACGTGTACACCAAAGCATCATTGAAATACATATGTAAGGTTGAAAGGAAGTAAGGGAATTCTCTAGGGCCCAGAAACTAAGCAGAGGCTGCAGTTGTCCTGGAGTGGAGATGTAAAGGAGGTTGTAGCAAAGGAACAGAGATCAAAGCCCTCGGATGTGGCAAGATGGGTACTGAACCTAAGACATCCTCTCCTTTCCCCAACATAAAACCAGTGAAAGGGAGAACTAGAAAAGGAAACAATCTATCCACTACCACATGGAGATGTCAGGGCAGCTTGTCCACTTTAGACTGGACTCTAGGCAGAACAGAAGTAGTTTCTCTGAACATTTGAAACCTAGCTCCACCTCACATAGATTTGAGGTTCAAATTTACTGACCCTTTTAGTCTAATGAGTAAAGCTACTGAGAGGAAGGAAGGAAGGAAGGACGGACCAGAAAGAAACTTTTTCTTTCAAGTTTTGAGTAATACCAAATATTCAAGAAGGAATAAAAGCTGGATCAAGCCTGCTAATTTTGCATTATGATAGGAAGGTTATTAATATGATGTGGTATCATGACTGAGCTGGGTTTATTTTGGGAATTCAAGGTGATCTATCACTAGAAAATGCATCAATGTATAGTATAAGAAAAAAATGGGAAAAATTAAAACCAAATTTAGGATAATGGTAATGGGGAATTTATTCAGGGAAGACTGTGTAGGGGTGAGATCTTTAAACAGGTCTGTAATATTCCATTTCTTAAGTAGTGGGTACCTGGATGATCACTTAAGCTAAGTAGTGGGTACAAGGTATTCTTTTGCACTATTTTACATACCTGAGATGGTTTATACTAAAATACTAATCACATGAATTAGTTGATTTATCACATTCAGAGCTTAAAGAGAGAAATTATATTATTTCATCTCTAGTTGCAGAAAAAGTGTTTGAGCATATTAAACATTCAACCATACTTTGAAAAGACAGATCAAACTATGAATATAAGTGAACATCTTTAAACTGAATAAGGGTATCAACCAAAAACTATAGTAAACATCATTTAAAGGTGAAATATTAGAAGAAATAACACAGAAATGTCTTATGAATTGAACTTGGAAGTCCTAGCTAGGAAAATGAGACAATAACAAGATATAAAATCTATAAGAATTAGAAAAGAAGAAAAGCATGTCATTACTTGTAGACAATTTTATTGCTTATATAGAACATCCAAGAGTATTTAATGATTAATGGAACCCCCAGAGTTTGAGAAAATTATTTGTTATATAATCTATACATAAAAATGAGTTACCTTTCCTGTATTCCAGAAACCAAAAATTAGAATATATAATTTTATAAAAATTCTGTTTACAGTATCAACAAAAACTTTTAAATTTCTAATAGAAAATGTAATTGAAGACATGTAAGGTATTTATAAAGAAAATTATAAATCCTTATGTAAAGGAATCAGTTGGAGAGCTATACCATGTTTATGGATGGGATAATTTAATATCATTAATTTGATGTCCTACCAAATTAACCTTTTATTTAAATGTAATAATTCCAGTCAAAATTTGAGGAGAGCCTTTGGTAGACTTTGACAAGTTGGGTCTAAAATTTCATGGAAGAGCAAATGGCCAAGAATAGCCAAGTCTATTTTGGAAAAGAACAAGGTGAAAGGGGCTGATCTTATCTAGGTGCCAACTGTCTTAGGATTTAGTAGTTAAATCAGTGTGGTATTGCCATATATAGTAAAATAAACAAATGTTTTTAACCAATAGCCCAGAAATAGACACATTTATATATATACACATGTTATATAATATAATAGCAAATCTTGTATGGCTAGCCATTTAAAATAAATTAAAATTTGATTCCTATTTTATATCTTACACAAAATAAAATCCACCTAAATGTGAAAAATCAAACGTTTAACATTTTTAAAAGATCATGTAAGAATATATTCTTATGATTTAGGATAAGATAGATTTTCTTTAAAATGACACAAAAGTACAACTCATAAAGGAAGAAGGTGCTAATTAGATTATACTGAAATTCAGAACTTTCATTTAACCAAAAGAACACCACAAAGTGAAAAACCTGACCTAGATTGAGAGAAAACAGGTGCACTGCTTAAAGCTAACAAAGGATTCCCATCCAGAATATAGAAAGAAGCTAGCATATCAATAAGGAAAGGAAAACAAATAAATTGAAACATGGGCATGAATGTGAATAAATAATTTGAGCAAGAAAGAACCCAAACTGCCAATACACATATGCAAAAATGATCAACTTCACAAATAATCACAAAAATGCAAATTAGAAACAAAATGAGATACCATTTTACACCTATCAGACTGGCAAAACGAAAGTACCTGTCAATATTACATAGTGACGAAAATGTGGGAAACAGGAACTTACATCTGTAGTTGATAGGAATACAAATTTGTACAACTTATCTGATGAGCAATTTAACGATATATAATAAAGGCAAGATGCACATACTCTCCAGCCAGGAAATCCTACTTCTAAAGTGTACACTATAGAGAAAGTCTTACATACGTGCCTGGAGAGATTCATAATGTTCATAGCAACATTGTTCATAATAGCAAAAGTAAATATCCTAAATATTCATCTACGGGAGACAAATAGATTCTGATATATTCCTTTACTGAAATACTATATATCCATGCAAATTAATGAACTAGAGCCACATGAAGCAATATAAATAAGCTTAAAAACATAATGTGAAGGACAAAAACAAGTTGCAAATATATGCAGTAATATAACATTTACATAAAGTTTAAGGCTTGCAAAATAATGCAATACATTATTTATGGGTACATGAATACATATGGAGTAAATGTATGAAAACACACAGAGAAATGAGACTCCTTAAATGCAGTACAGCGACCACTCCAGGAAGAATGGAAGAGGGATACAATAGGGGGTCCCAGTTACACCAGTCATGTTTTATTTGCTTTAAAAAAATTCTAGAATGATTTTGACAAAACATTAAGATATAACAAAGCTTACTTTTTATACCATTACCCATTTTTGTGTCTATAAAATTGATGATAATTTTAAGAGCCGTGTGTTCTCTGTCACCAAGTTCACCTTAATGAGAAGTTGGCATTTTCTCTGCCTCTTTGCCATTTGTAGGTAATTAAACACCTACAAAAGGAAATCCAGGAACTGAAGGATGAACTGGCCATGGTCACTGGGGAGCCAAGGACAGAGGCGCTCACAGAAGCAGAGCTCCTTCAGTAAGCCTGCAGACTCTTTTTCTTTTTCTTTTAACAGTGAAAGTTTGTGTTAACTTCTTTGTTGGCCCTAATGTTACGAATTCACCTCAAAGCATGAAGGTCTCCTGGGACAGTCTGAAATTGCATTTAGGCGCCAGTTAAGAATGGCGGCTTTCCATGAAAAGCTGGATAAGGCTGGCAGTGTTTTTGCCGCCTCAGCTTTGAGGAAGTAAAGAACAGAGCAAAGAGAGGATGGGAATATCCTTCTCATGCCAGCTGAAGAAAAGGAACTGTATAATAGTCGTGCAGTTTTAAAACACACACACCAAACACTCTTGAGCTGTGGATCTCAGATCTGAAAGGAATTCAAGAAACGTCCTTTGTGTTAAACAGCATCTTGCTACAAGCACCAATTTATCCCATGCCAAAGTAAGCTCTTTCCTTTAATAAATGGATGGCCGATATATTATAGCTCAAACACTCGAACTGGGAATGAAAGCAGGTATTCAGGGCTTAATACAAGTGCGGCATCTTTCAGAGTCTTCAGATTTGCAACCATATGGCATATCAGTGGTACAATGTGGCTCTCATCCTCTCTCTGATCACAGTGGGCTTTCTTGTTTCTGTGCTACTTATTAAGCATATTGGGTAGTAAGAATGGGCCAGGCTTTGAAGGCAGTGACATTCTCTATTTGCAAATAAGAAATAGTGCAACATAGGAGTTTTCTAAAGATATACTGTCATTTCACCTAACCCTCCCTCGATGGAGAAAATGGTAAATAAGAGAGAGAATAAAAGTAATTGTCGGTAGGGTGCAGTGGCTTATGCCTATAATCTCAGCACTTTGGTAGGCAATGGTGGGTGGATCTCCTGAGGTCAGGAGTTCAAGACCAGCCTGGCCAATATGCTAAAACCTCATCTCTACTAAAAATGCAAAAATTAGCTGGGCATGGTGGTGAACATCTATAGTCTTAGCTACTCAGGAGGTTAGGTGGGAGAACCGCCAGAACCCGGGAGGCAGAGGTTACAGTGAGCCAATATGGCACCATTGCACTGTAGCCTGGGTGACAGACCAAGACTCCACCTCAAAAAAAAAAAAAAGTAATTGTCTTTAAACTATTTCTTTATTATTATTATACTTTAAGTTCTGGTGTACATGTGCGGATCATGCAAGATTGTTATATAGGTATACATACGCCATAGTGGTTTGCTGCATCCATCCCCCCGTCATCTACATTAGGTATTTTTCTTAACGTTATCCCTCCCAAATCCCCCCACCTCCTGCTATCCCTCCCCTAGCCTCCCTACCCCCCAACAGGCCCTGGTGTGTGATGTTCCCCTCCCTGTGTCCATGTGTTCTCATTGTTCAACACCCACTTATGAATGAGAACACGTGGTGTTTGGTTTTCTGTTCTTGTGCCAGTTTGCTGAGAATGATGGTTTCCTGATTCATCCTTGTCCCTGCAAACGGCATGAACTCATCCTTTTTTATAGCTGCATACTATTCCATGGTGTATATGTGCCACATTTTCTTTATCCAGTCTGTAATTGATGGGCATTTGGGTTGGTTCCAAGTCTTTGCTATTGTAAACAGTGCCGCAATGAACATACTAGTGCATGTATCTTTGTAATAGAACAATTTATAATCCTTTTAGTGTATACAGGATTGCTGGGTCAAATGGCATTTCTATTTCTAGCTCCTTGAGGAATTGCCACACTGTCTTCCACAATGGTTCCACTAATTTACACTCCCACTAACAGTGTAAAAGTGTTGCTATTTCTCCACACCCTCTCCAGCATCTGTTGTCTCCTGAGGTAAGTCTAAAGCTTGAGAAGCCTTAGCAAGGTTTCTGTTAGAGTTAAAGCTTTCACTCCTCCAGGGTAGTGTTTTCTAATTCCAGAACACTGTGTTTAATAATATGATAGTCCCTAAAGCTTTTCTTGCCAGACTGCTCTGTGGTATATTTGCAATTAAGGGGAAACATGTTGCCAAAAATTCATGTGAAAAAAAAGTCTTATGTCATTTCTTCAAACAACTTAGGATATGGTAGATATTGAGAACACTAACCTAATACTATGTTCACTATGGTGCTCCTTTCCCCTCAAAGACAGGAATTACCAATTACTGTCTTTGAAAATGTCTCTTCAGAATTTTGATCTACAAGTCAGGATCCAGCCAAGAAAACAGAACGACTCTAGGCCTTTTAACACAAAGAATTTAATATAGGAAATTGATTGCCAGGAGACAGTTTTGCTGAGAAGCTAAACAGGAAATGAAGCAACACCCTAGAGATCAGAACAACAGGAACTTCTATGCCCCTAAGATTGTAGGGACAATAGGAGAAGGTGATGCTATCAGAACTTAAGAGTAGGAGCTGACAGGCAGAAGCTAGACCATACTGAGTGCTGTCTGACAGCAGCTGCAGCCACTGAAGAGCCACAGGTGCTAGTTGAGTTACTATCCAGAAGGAGATCCTTGGCTTCTCCCACATCATCCTTTCAGTCTTCCACCAGTGCTTCCCATTGGCTGAAGTTACCCAGAAGCCAGCTGTTAAAAAAGTCTGGGAATGTCATTTCTTGTGATGCAGACTCAAAGAGGGGAAGGGGGAAACTGAGTCTATGACCAACATATCCAATGGGTACCAGTGTTTCCGTGAATTCCTGTATATCCTGTGTGTTTTTCAGGAGGCTCAGTTTAAGGGTGAGATTTTGAATGCGGTGGTTTCAATATGTAAGGGTGAGTAACTGTGCTGCGGGCTCCCTCTACTGTACCAAATCTAGAGAATTATGGAACTGGGATAAACACATGCATCTCTAGTCATACCTACCAACAGGAAGTAGGCTTCTTCATGATCTAGAGGCTTCAAGGATTTCCTGAGGGACTGAGAGGTGGGACTTGAGATGGGCAGAGAAAAGGATAGACTAAGTCATGGGTGCAGCATAATAATTGCTCCATGTCTGGAAGTGTGGAGCCCTGGAGCATGAGAGGGCTAGGAACAGCTAATGAGCATTTGGTAGAGCTTTTGTAGTGGGGACAGTTTGTCCTGTGAACACTTGAGCACTTGAGCACTCCTCCTCTGTAGTGTTGAGGATGGAGAGACAGGGAAGGGCCCCAGGTAGCTGACAGAGAGCCCAGAGAAGCTCTGAAGACCAGTTGCTGTCTTTAGCTCTATTTACCCATCTCCTGTTCTCACAAAAAATAAGAAGAAGCCCAAACACTGGCAGCTGCTTCAGCCCCTTGTCCCAGACAGGCTGCCCAAGCTGAGATACCTGAGAGTTCAGGAAAGATGAGCCCATGGTTCAGGGTGGCTGGAAATAGAAATTTCCAAAAGTCTGAGAATAATAAGAACAAGAAGATTGTACAGCCCACAGGGCCTTAGAACTAAACATTACTCAAAGTGATTAATATCTTTAGCGAAATGGATTATGGTATTATATCCATGAGCAAGAACGGGAGTTGACTTTTATGAAACAAAATTAGGGGGAAGTCTTGGAAATGAAAAAATATAATCGTTGTCATTAAGAACTTAACAGATGAGATGATATCTCAGTATGATTTTGATTTGCATTTTTCTAATGACCAGCGATGATGAACGTTTTGTCATAAGTTTTTTGGCTTCATAAATGTCTTCTTTTGAAAAGTGACTGTTCATATCCTTCACCCACTTTTTGATGGGTTTGTTTGTTTTGTTTAGTTTTGTAAATTTGTTTAAGTTCTTTGTAGATTCTGGTTATTAGCCCTTTGTCAGATGTGTAGATCCCCCAGATTTTTTTTCATCCTGTTGGTTAGTGGTTCACTCTAATGATTGTTTCTTTTGCTGTACAGAAGCTCTGGATTTTAGATAGATCCCATTTGTCTATTTTGACTTTTGTTGCTGTTACTTTTGGTGTTTTAGTCACGAAGTCCTTGCCTATGCCTATGTCCTGAATGGTATTGCCTACCACCTCAGGCCGGTTAGAATGGCGATCGTTAAAAAATCTGGAGACAACAGATGCTGGAGAAGATGTGGAGAAATAGGAATGCTTTTACACTGTTGGAGGGAGTGTAAATTAGTGCAACCATTGTGGAACACAGTGTGGCGATTCCTCAAGGTTCTAGAAATAGAAATACCATTTGACCCAGTAATCCCATTACTGGGTATATAACCAAAGGATTATAAATCATTCTATTATAAAGACACATGCACTCATATGTTCATTGTGGCACTGTTTACAATAGCAAAGACTTGGAACCAATCCAAATGCCTATCAATGATAGATGGGTCAAAGAAAATGTGGCACACATACACCATGGAATACTATGTAGCCATAAAAAGGATGAGTTAATGCCATTTGCAGGGACATGGATGAATCTGGAAACCATCACTCAGCAAACTGACACAAGAACAACAACAACAAAAAACAAACACCACACGTTCTCACTCATAGGCAGTTGTTGAACAATGAGAACACTTGGGCGTAGGGAGGAGAACATCACACACCGGAGTCTGTTGAGGGGTGGGGGACTAGGGGAGGGATAGCAGGGGATGGAGATATTGGGGAGGGATAACATTGGGAGAAATGCCTGATGTAGGTGATGAGGGAATGAAGGCAGCAAACTAGCATGGCATGTGGGTACCTCTACAACAATCCTGCAAGAACTTAAAGAA